GCGCTTGTTTACATCAGAGTGCGCATGCGTCTTTCACGCAGCATACAGCGGTGTTGTGCATTTTGACCAGTTTATGGGAAAAGTATTCTTAAAATGCATTCAAAATTCTGAATAATTTGTTATATATAATTATTCACGGTATTTAGTAGTGCCCACGATAACAATATCGTGCACATTCATTACCGTGATATATCGCATTACCGAATACCGGCACAAGTCTACTTACACTACTGTTCTAAAGTTTGTGGTCAGTATGATTTCTTTATTTTTTTAAAGAAACTATTTTCTATTCTGCAAGGATGCATTAAATTTAGCAAAAGTGACAGTAAAGACATTTATAATGTTGCAAAAGATTTCTATTTTAAAATGTATTTATCCGTTTTAAAACTTTTTTTAACTTTTAAAAGAAGAATCCTGAAAAGAAGTATCATGGTTTCCTCAAACATATGAAGCAGTACTTGATATTTGTTTTTTCAACATTGATTATAAAAAGAAATGATTCTTGAGCGGCAAATCAGCACATTATACTGATTTCTGAAGGATCATGAGACACTGAGGACTAGAGTAATTCAGCTTTGCATCACAGGAATATATTACTTTGTAAAGTATATTCACATAGAAAACAGTTATTTTAAATTATAATAATATTACAGAAGATGAAAAAATTCTTACAAGCCTGAACTTTTGAATGGTAGTGTACGCACATGAAAAAGCTGAGTTTCGTGTGCAATCTGCACCTTGTCTGTAGGTCCTGTAACGGGAGCCCATGGGAGTCCTTGAGGTCTTCCTGACACTCGTGAATGTATATGATGCAAATGCCTTCTGCAAACATGTACTTTCTGTGTAGCAAACATAATTTCTCTTTCCCCCCTCTGATTTCACGTGCTGAGATGAGTGCACACAAGTGTGTTTGCATTAGGGAATGTATGCATAGACCGAGACAACATAAATGTCTATAAATGCATTTTTGACAAAAGAGAAGAGCAAAGCCAAGACAAGGTGTTTTTTTTTAATCGTTTGTAAAGACGTCCCATTTTTTCCTAATATATAAAGGTGATGTGATTGGTGAGGGATGACGTCATTAAGCCTTTTAATGTTGCACATCCGAAAGGTTAATGGAATAAAAAAATTAATGTAATGTGTATATTGGTTTTAGTATTTCTTGACTGATCAAATGCAAACAGCCAGCATTGCAGTACTGTACAGTCATAGAGCGTAACATTGATTTAAAGCAACTGATAAAACCATGATTGAGACATGAAAATGATATATTGAAAGTCCACGCAGCTTTGTGTGAACCAGTACAATATACCGTTCTACCTCAAGAACAGGGTACCTCAATCTGATCTTTTCTCCCTTTTGCATATTTTGTATACCTTGTAAAGCTCTCAAACTTAGAGCATTTTTTATTTTTCTAAATAAAAGAACAAGAAAAAAAGGGTTAGCGCAAGGCACCAACTTGGCCTGCTTGTTCTTGCGAAAGAGGTTTCAGAAACTGATTGTTGCTTTATGAACCGTTTGACTCAAATGGGCTCTTGAGGTCAATGCAACTCTTGGGCAACTGAACTTTTGTGCTGACAGTACTTTGTTTCTTGCAGTTTATGTTTGAACTGAAATAACTGTCTTGACCGATATATAGTGTCTAAGAATACAGCTTAATCCAACCATATGCAGTGTTCTTCAACCTGTATTTAGAACATTATCTTTATGTTACTCTGTTACAAATGGCTCTGTAATTTCTCTGTTTTGGAGGCCATATCTGATGAGTTGGCCAATAACAAGTCAGTTTTGAATGTTATTCTAACAGCATATTTGTGAGGTTTTATTATAGGAATAATCTCCGCCAGTTTACTGCTGAATGTTAGCATAACAATATTAGACACAATTGAATTTGATCCTTTCAGTTTGGGTTTCTGTAGTAAAATTTTGCTGTGTCAAATGGGAGGGATGTCCAGCAGTCTCTCTTCTCATATCATTTACAAAGAAAACGTGTACATGAAACCTAGTCTTTGCCGTATTACTTCTGCAGCCGTCTCTGAGTCCGTTTCTCTTCACATTCTACCATGTTCAAAATGTCTTTATTGACCACTTGTACCGTGAATACTTCTGGGTGTTTGATAAGTCTGTCCCTTATCTGATCAACTCTTATAATAATGTCACACAATGTAAAAATGGGTAAACAAACGAATTTCAGATGTGGGCAAAAGGGGGACATATTCCATTGGTATACTATTGGCTCTAGCCAAGTGTGGGTGAGTTGGGGACAATAGGAGTGTGAATGAACAATCATGAATACACATCTGTTTTTATGTTTTCTGGAAGGGTCACACTACCCTTCACATGGATATGAGGAATAAACAGTCTTTAAAATAATGTTGTTGTTGTTGTTTTCTTCATCTTTGTATCAATATATCGTTTACTTGTGTCATTAGCTTAAAGATTCTGTGGAAGCTTGTTTCCGCCACAAAAAAAAAAAAAGGTAATTGATCATTTTTATCTCACAATTCATCTTTTCTTACCGCAATTATAAGTTTATATCGCACACTTCTGGCTCTTGTTTTTCTCGAAAAACGTCAGAATTCTGACTTTTTTTTTTTTCCACTTGCAATTTCAAGTCTGAATTTCGAGTAGATCATTTCTACTTTTTATCTCACAGTTCTGACTTATCAGAATTGCAAATTTATGCAATTACTTTTTTTTTTTTTTATCTCAAACAATGTCTGAACTATGTGATAAAGTCACAATTACCTTAATTTTTTTTTATCCCAGGGCAGAAACTGGCTTCCACAAGATGCTAAAGTGAAACCTTGATTTCTGTTGGAATATATTAATACACTATATTAATAGAATATCACAATATTCTTATCCTGCAGTTATACTTACATGCATTTTTACACATAATTTGATCACCATAAAATATGCACCCATAGAACTCTATAGAAATAGTTTGGCTAATTTTATTATGCTTTCAGCTGCCAATATGGTATAATTATATCACTCATTTCAGCAATTTTACCATGTAGACATCCATTCCACATAATTTAACATATAGGTTACAATAAGATGTTAAATGGTTTCAAATGTTTTTATTATTGAATTTAAACTGCATGAAACTTTTCAAATACTTAGTTGTGAAAACAGCTGTTATAACTTGGTTATAATAGAAGTATAACTTTCAAGCACTCAATCAGCAGTTTTTAATGCAAAAACTAAACCTTAACAACTTATGTACACATTAAGACATTGATTTATTTTTCCATAAATGGCTTAAAACAGGACAGCTACTGTAATGCAGTAAATACTTAATCAAGTAGCACCTGTAGATGCAATTCATGAAAATGCAATGGAAATTCTTTGTTTTTTAAAGGATACATATATCCACCACAGAAACGGCTCTAGAATTTAGAGTTTCTGACATGCTGATAATTGATACATTCATGGCACAGTCAACCACAAACTAATGATCAGTACAAATGTGTAAAGGTTAAGCTGCATCTGAAGCTGAATGGATGAGATGTATTTAAAGTGCCATTTTATGCTGTAAATTTAAATACACTGCATTAATACTGCCTTACTGTCCAAAACAGGTCATTAGTAGTGTGCGTTTTTTTTTTTTTTTCTTAGAAATGAATTATGCACATGTGCAAGTATAACAAAGTAAGTTGTATGTGTATGACCAAGTCGGTTATCAATCCCTGAATGTACTGTGCAACTCCAAGAGATTTAGGCCATCGTGTAAATGATCAGTGCACAAGTCTATATTTAAGGCATGATACTAACTTGCAAATAAAAGAACACCCTGATAGTAGGACGCTTGAGGATAATGAATATAATATCTAATAATCTTTAAAAATCACTTTAGTGGTATGCACCTTATTTTTCAGCGCAGAAGTAAGCTATTTTTTGTGAATTTGCAAATCCTCTAAGCTGGTATTGCTAATAACAAGAAGAATAACAAGTGCAGTAATTGAAAAACTATTTGTGCTACAAACCAGTGTTTATAATGACTACATTCTGTTGAAATAATATTACAAGATAGACATGGCAAGCCTGGCACATTCAAGTTACAAATGGCTGCATCTCTTTTTAAGTTATAAATAAAGTTGGATACAGTTAAAGTAAAACTGTAGTACTACCTTTAAATAAAAATATTTTTATGTAATAAATTATTTTTTATGTGCAGGTCTTGAGCAGAAAGTGTAAAAAGAGTGGTAATCTGCTTTTGTTACCGTAGAGCTATTTACATGTTTTAATCCATAAAAATTTGTATAAATGAATGTATTTAGGTTAATTGAGCAATATTAAATAATATTTTTGACTTGAATAAAACCAGATAATTAG